AGGGTGCTGTGGCTGGCGGGCAGGCTGGGGGGGGAGAGGCGAGAGAGGGGTAAGCGTCCCACCGCCGTGGCCCCTCGGCCCAGCTGGAGGTGCTGGGTGTGAGGTTGGGGCTCGGCACTGCGCCGAGTGGGTGCCCACCCAGTCGGTGGGGCTTGTGGCAACTGGGTGGCAAGGAGACCTCCCTGCCCTGGCTCCCCGTGGTGGAGGGATGGAGGTGCGCCCCAGCCTCTGGGGGCCTGCTCACCCCCCGTCTGGCACCCACGCACCCAGGGGTCTGGGGTCCTGCCCACTCCAGGTCTGGCACCCATGTACCCAGGGTTTTGGGGTCCTGCTCACCCCCCGTCTGGCACCCACGCACCCAGGGGTCTGGGGTCCTGCCCACTCCAGGTCTGGCACCCATGTACCCAGGGGTCTGGGGTCCTGCCCATCTCCCATCTGGCATCCACGCACCCAGGGGTCTAGCACCCACATATCCAGGGTTTTGGGGTCCTGCCCACTGCCCACCTGGCACCCATCCACCCAGGGGTCTGGGGTCCTGCTGATCTCCCATCTGGCATCCACGCACCCAGGGGTCTAGCACCCACATACCCAGGGTTTTGGGGTCCTGCCCACTGCCCACCTGGCACCCATCCACCCAGGGTTTTGGGGTCCTGCCCACTGCCCACCTGGCACCCATCCACCCAGGGTTTTGGGGTCCTGCTGATCTCCCATCTGGCACCCACACACCCAGGGGTCTGGCACCCATGCAGCCAGGGTTTTGGGGTCCTGCCCACTGCCCACCCTGCACCTACGTACCCAGGGTTCTGGGGTCCTGCTCACCCCCCATCCAGCACCCATGCACCCAGGGGTCTGGGGTCCTGCCCACCCCGGGTCTGGCACCCATGTACCCAGAGTTTTGGGGTCCTGCTCACCCTTCCATCTGCACCCACACACCCAGGGTTTTGGGGTCCTGCCCACCCTCCATCTGGCAGCCATATATCCAGGGGTCTGGCACCCACATACCCAGGGATCTGGGGCACCCCACACCCCTGCAGCTCCGGCATGCCCAGGGTCCAGCACCCAGCACCCCACCACCCTGGGCTCCAGCACCCCACACCCTGGGCTCCAGCCACCCACAGACACTGGGGCAGACGAGGTCCCCAGTTTGATGCTTGGCCATGGGGAAACACCCAGGGCAAGTGCTTGCAGCCCAAAAGGGGCTGGGGGCACCCAGTGGGCAAACCTCACTGGGTGCGTTGGGGTTAGAAAGCCCACCAGAAAGCGCAGGGCACCCAGCGCAGCCCCGCTGCCCCCCCAGCTCCCAGCCCCTAACCCCGCACCACCCTCCCAGGGGACGGGCATCGGGCAGCGAGGGGACTTGGGTGGCACTTACCGGGTGACGGTGGCATCTCCGAACCCCGCTGGCGAAGCTGCCAGAGCCTGGTGGGGGTCAGCTCTCCCAAACACCCATCGGCATCCATCCGGCAAGAAAAACACCCCCGGCAAGCGAGCGGACGGGAGGGAAAAGAAAAAAAAAAAAACAAAAACCCCAACCAGACCCCCCCAGGGGCGGCTGAGGGGGCTGCCC